ATATAAAGTATCTCGCAATAATGAATGAAAAAAAAAATTTTTTTTTTTCATTTCAGGCTAGATTCTTATCGACCAACCAACCGATAAGGATTTCGACGGGATGGAATTTGTAGACATGCGATATTTTTGAATCTCGAATGTTATGATTAAATTTGCTTATAATATTATGAAAATTCAATTATTAAATTATTGCTAATAAAGATTAAATTAAGCCTTTTTATTAGAACACCATCTATAACTTCAAGCTAATGAGCTTATGCAACCATGTCATTAGATAAAGATTCCGTTTATGTAATGAGCAAAGATCGATACATCAGAGAAATTGGAAATGTCTTAAAACTTTTTAATGTCGGAAAATAGATTCATATAAAATTGCTTTTAAATCTCACCAAATTTTCGATTATGAAGGTAATTTTCGCGAGTTTCGAGAAACTTTCCTGGTTAAATTCTTATGAAGTGACGCCACTCGAAAGCTTCAAATGTGTCTTCTTACTTCTTTTAGTATATAATGATATATTCTTCGATGTAACTAATCATTTCTCTAAACAAGACTTTAATTAAAATCTTCCTAAACGTGGTCAATTTCTCCGTTCCCAAAATAAACTTCAAATTTCTCCCTGAATAAGGGAATTAAATGAGTATGCATTTTTACGGTTACAAACTTGAAATACTTGTGAACGGACTGCCACTGCCCGAATCCAGTCAATTTACAACTAGCCTGAATGTTCCCGTAAGCATGTTTTTGGCTTATCCTTTTCAATAACCGCACAGGTATTTACTAAAAATTTTCACAATTGGAAAGACCACCACGGGTCCTTCTTATATTCTCGATGGGCCATCTAATAAATGGATCATAAGGTAAATCAAAGATCAGGACCCTGGTCCTTAGGATAACAGATACGGCTCTAAATATTAAAAAATCACTTCAGTGATTCCTTTGTATGTGCCCAAGTTCCCTCGTCCGGCCTCTATTTTTCAGTTCGATTCTCCTCCGAGAAAGTCTCACCATATAGTCCACTAATGGCCTTCGTAGTGGTTGATGGTCATCTGGACTATCGTTACGTTCAAATGTACAACCCCGGTTC